TTAATAAAAACATAGCCGTCTTTTTATAATAGCCTGCTTACTTATTATTATTTTATTAATAACCTTTTAAAGTTATATACTATAGCTAATTTTTAATTTTTTAATTTTTAAATAATAATTATATTACTAAACTAAGTACTAAGTACTTTACTACTTAACTTTTAGTAGTTATTTATTTTATTTCTAACCGACCCGATTTAATAATAACGCCTTCTCTCTAGCCCTATTTACTATTAATATAGTTTAGCCTTAATAATACTTAACTATATACTACTTACTAATTATTTAGTAGGTTTGTTTAGTGGATTTGTTTAGTTTAAATAGAGCTTTAAATAATATTAGAAGTAATAAGGATAAAAGAATTTTTATAAAAAAGAATTTTTATAAGCTCTAGTATAAGTAATAAATATTAACCCTTTTAGCCCTTTTTTAAAAACCTCTACGTTATTATTAAAATTTAGAACCTTTATAGTTAAGGGCCGCTTTTAACCTTTATAACTAACTATTATAATTAATTATTATAGTTAACCTTTATTATTAACCTTTTAGTTAGTACCGCTACGTAATACGTAGCCTACTTATTTTAAATTAAATAGCGGTTTTCGTATTAAAATTATTATATTATATTAAGTACGTACTTAAGGTATATTATACGTATTATATAGTTAAAAAGTATACTATATTATATAATTTCTTTTAAAAATATAATCCCGTTAAGGTCGATCTTTTGCGCTTATAAAACTAAAAAAACTATTATATACTACTTACTAATTTAATATTAAATATTCAGGGCCTTTATAAAGTAAATAGCTATTATTATAATATTAATAAAATAATAATAATATTATTAATAACTTAACCTCTAGTTAAAATAAAGACTTTTATTAATTTTAATTTATTTAAATATATTTTAAAGTATTTAATATAAATATTATTTTTTTTTAATATAATTAAAATAAATAATAAAAAGCTTATTTTTTAAAAAGTATTAAAAAAAGAAATAAGGTATTATTAAATAAGACGTACTTTTAAAAATATAATAAAAATTAACGTTAATAATAAAGCTATTTAAGTATAAATAAGCTAGGTAATAATATTAAACTTAAAAGTTATAAATAAGTTTATTAAGTTATTTATTATAATTAAGTAATAAAGTTTTTATAGTAAAAATAAACGATTTGAGGACTTAAGAATATAGAAAAAGGGATCTACTTACTATTTAATAGCTCGTAAACGGATCTCTTATATCTACCTCTAGGGCATTAGGGTTTTATAAAGTATATTATCAGGATATTTATAGCACTCTAGCGTAATGCGGGCTAAAAAGTTTAAAAACTATAGTAGCATAACCTTAAGCAGCTCCGACCTTAATAGTATTACCGGCCGTCTACCCGCCTAGGTATTGCGCTATATAATTATAATTTAAAATAAGTAGTTAGTAGTATAGCTAGACGTATAGCCTATAGGGGTACCTTTTTTAACAAAAGCTCTCTGCGTATTATAAAATACTATTATACTTTTTAACTTAACGAAATACGTATATACTAATATATACTATTAAAAACTATATATAGAGATATACTTATATAGAGTAAGCTTTTTACGTACGTAGTATATAAAATAAAATAAAACTAAATTAATTATTATAATAAAAGTTAAAATAATTTTTAGTTTTATTTATTACGTAGTATATTATTTTTATATTCTCTAATAATTATTGAAATTAATAATCCTATTAGCTAAAAAGTCCGTAAATATATAAGCTTTAATTAGTTAAAAAGTAAATTACCTTCCGGATAGTTAAAAAGGACCTCCGGATAGCAAAACTTATAAAATAATAGTATATTATACTAAATAATAATAGCTCGTTAACTTAAGGTAAAGGGTATTAATAAAAATAATTACTAAAAGTTAATAAGTAATAAAGCACTTAATACTTAGTTTAATAATATAATTATTATTTAAAAAGTTAAAAGTTAGTTATAATATATAATTTTTAAAAGTTATTAATAAAATAATAATAAGTAAAGGCCGCTATAAAAAAATAATTACGCTTTTATTAATAATTATTTTTAATAAATTATTATAATAACTAGAGGCTATTTTATTTATATATAGTGGTTTTTCTAGCTTTATAAGCGTAAAAGATCGATTTTAATAGGATTATATTTTTAAAAGAAATTATATAATATAATATACTTTTAATTATATAATATATATAATATACCCTAAGTATGCGCTTAATATAATATAATAATTTTAATATAAAACTACTATTTAATTTAGAATAAATAGGCTACTTATTATATAATAGTGCTAGTTAAAAGGTTAATAATAAAAGTTAGCTATAATAATTAATTATAATAATTAATTATAAAAGTTAGAAATAGCCTTTAACTATAGAAGTTCTAAACTTTAATAATAACATAAAGGTTTTTAAAAAAGCTAAAAGGGCTAATATTTATTACTCTTTTATTATACTAAAACTTATAAAAATTCTTTTTATCTTTATTATTTTTAATATTATTTAAAGCTATTCTCTATTTAAATTAAATAAATTTACTAAATAAACTTATTAAATAAACTTATTAAACAAACTTATTAATATATAAATTATTACCTTAATAAGAACTTAAAAATACCCTTAATAAGTCCTCTCTAAAGCTTAATAAATTTTAAGCCCTCGATACCCTAGTTATTATAATTAATATAAATATACTTAAAAAGTAGTATAATACTTTTAATAATATAAAATCTAATTAAATAATAATATAAACGTTATAAATAACTAAGTTAATATAAATATTAAAATTTAATATATTAATATTAGCTTAGAATTATATTATATAAAACTAAAAATCCTTTTAATATAGGTTATATTATAAATATAGGGACTATGTAAGGGTTCCTTAACTTTTAATAAAAGGAATATATAATACGGATTTACTTATATAAGCTAGTACTAAGAAGTATTATATATATTAAAATAGGTATAACTCGCCCTATAAACGGCTAGAAATAGTAGAAAGTCGGGAGCTATTTTAGTTAGTAATTAAGTACGGAGCGTAATATACTTAGTTTTCCCTAATACATAATATATAATACGGCCCCGGCAAATTACTCTATTAGGGGGCTATTTTATTTATATATATAGTATATTATAATTATTATAACTAATAAATTAGCTTCTAAGTTAGTTATATATATTAAGTTATAACATATTATTATTAAATTAGGTTAATTAATAATAAAGTCTAAATAATATAATTTTTATTTAAAAATTTAAAAAGTTAGCTATAATATATAACCTCAAAAGGTTATTAGTTAAGTAATAATAAGTAAGTAGGCTATTATAAGAAGACGGCTACGCTTTTGCTCGTAATTGCTCCCGGTAAATCACTGCAATGGCCAGAGGCCATGATTTCTATACATACTGCCTAGATATAACATTACATTATGAGTCCATGACTTTCTTGGTATTTCACAAAGTGCTCCAGATATAATGATACACAGTTGGGGCGCCCGTTTTGGTCGTGGCGCCGTACCAATCACTCCCTGAAAGGACTACCCTGGAATACAGGCGAAGCCACCGACCTAGAGATAAGCCAAGAAGCCTGCATTACATGGAGCGAGTGACCATCACTTGCCCCTTTTCCTTAGAACCTTGTCCCATGGTACGGATATCCGTGCTTTTTGTGAGGTAGTCCGTACCAATCATCCTCTCCTCAAGGCATTTGCGCCATTCTCTCATACCTTCCACTGGAGATACCCATGCTCAACCAGGCTGTCGGCGACGACAAACGACCGACCACCCACCCTCCTGGAATAAACCGGTACTACGCGTAGCCGTGACACATTCAATGCCGTGGGTGCGGTAGAGGGCGCGTTCCGGTCGACCAACTTGAAGGTCTCTGACCAGACTCCAAGCGTATCGAGTAGGTCCTCACTACCACACCTTCAGGTGCACAGGATGCCCTCACCCAAAACCATCAGCTCGGCTACCTTTTCGAACCCAGGATTGTCGCAGTCGCATTCAACATCGCTATACCACCGCGAGCAAACCCTCCAGACCCATCAACTACCTCAATCGGACTCACCGCAATACCAGCAAGACCACCATCGACAGCAACAACAGCCGTCTTATCAGAAGCAGCACAGACTCTCCAGGTCCTTCCCCTCGTCGCCGTCTTCAAATCACCTGGCTGCCCCCCGCTACCCGATCGGCACACGCTCCGACCGACCGCAGGCTCCAGTCTCATCTTCGCTTCGTTCTCGTCTTGACACAAGCACGACCTTTTCGCGCAAAACGCCGTCACCACTTCCACGAACATCGTCTCTTCTACCGCCCCCGCAACAACCTGCAACTCACTTTCCGACAAAAAAGCCTGATGTCGTGATTCCTGAAGATTCTGACTCAAACTCGCCATTGTACTACGAAGTGTCTTCGCATCCCCGGCCTTCTACCGCCCACTCGCGTGCGAGCAGCGCAGGCCTTTCGACTGACGGTGCGAGAAACCTCAATCGCTGGTCTGCCTCGACAACATCAAGCCGAGCGTCGACCCAGGACCATCGCGGCATCAACTCTCATGCACGCCGCGTGAGCATTGATGCGTCTGCACTACCCGCGACTAACAGCATATCGGCGCCCAGTCAGCTAAGTCAAAGGCTCGCGAGACACCGACGACGATCCAACTCTAGCGACGGCTCTCGGGAAACTAACGGCGGAAGCAAGTTGCGCGCCCCTTCACCATCCGGATTGACGCACCACGAAGGTCATTTCGCCCTATTCACATCCCATAACCACAACTCGCCCGCAACCCATAAGCTTGCAACCCAAGGAAACGGCTTGCGAGCGCCAGCGGGAACCTCCCGTGCGCTCGAGACTGACCTCCTTGCTGCCCAAAACCGAACCTGGGATGCATTCTCCGGTCCGGGGCGGAGAGGATCAACTGAACAGCGTCGACAGCAGTCGTCTCGTGCAGCAATGCCATCCGAACGCAATGGGGACGCCTACGAGACGAAGGGTCACTCCCGCAATTGGTCGCAGGCCGCAAAGGGGAGTACCGACACCACTGGGTCCTCGCGGGGTAAGGAAAGGGGAAATCGGCCGCCATCGCAAAAAGCTATGCTCTCAAGAGCTTTACAAAAGGCGAATACGGCAGTACAGCTAGACAATGCGCAGAATTTTGAGGGTGCGAGGCATTCATATGCGGAGGCGTGTGAGCTGCTGCACCAGGTGCTTGCTAGGACATCCACTGAGGAGGACAGACGAAAGTTGGAGGCGATCGTGAGTTTCACGGCTTCATGTTTTAAACGGCCGAAACCAAAGCTAACCAGATGAAGCGTCGGACATACACCAGTCGCATTGAAGAATTGGATCAAATGGTTCCGGTGCGGCAAGCTACGGAAAGCAAAGCACTGCCGGCTAGACCAGAAAGCCTCGGCCTGCGCTTGAACCCTACCTTACAGTTCGACGACGACGATGAAGAATTGGAGGATACGGATGGGTTAGAGACTGCGACACTGACCAGGATATTGAGGGAGGGAAATCAACAAGCAGCCAGCTACAGTGGTTCTAGTCTGACCATTTCACGAATGCATGGTCTGGGGGATCGACAAAGGAGTACTTCTGCAAGGTTGCCGGATCAGTATCCCTTGCAGTCCTCCTTCTCACGATCTCCGCTTCGGGATCGTGCATCAGACGATCAACTCATCTTCCAAATACCCACAGACGATGCCTACATGCCACCGCCACTCTCACCTAGACGTCTCTCGTCACCCAACCCTGACGGCCAAGGTAGTCCCGATGGACCCATCAGGTCCGATTTCTCCCTATCAGCAAGACGGACTAGCCAGAGTTCTCGACATGTCAGGGACTCAAGTCGTGAGTCCAATTCATGGTTGGACCCCATCGATGAGTCTGGAGGCTCCACAGCGTCCTCTGTTCATTCCAGGTCGTCATCTGCAGTTATAAGGCGCAAGCACATACGGGCTCCAAGTGGCGCAACGGAAGCAGAGTTTGACGCGGCGTTAGACGCTGCAGTCGAAGCAGCCTACGACGATGGGTATGAGCCGATGGGCTTTTCTGATCCAGAAACTCAAGGATCGGATGATCCGATTGTAGCGAAAGCCTTGAGAAAGGTTGAGCTGGCCAAAGAGCGGGTCCGCCAAACGGAGAGAGAAGCTATTGCACAAGCCAATGAGAGAGAGCGGCTTGCGCGAATTCAAATGGGCCAGCAGTCCGACGAAGGTGTCGTCCGTGAAGGCTTTTTCGATGACGGATCATCAGACGAAGAGGAGCGCATCCTTGACGAGATCACTCGAGACTACTCGGTTGACGACTTCGCCTTTAATTTGGCCTCTCATCAGGCTGCAGCTAGGACTTCAGGCTCAAGTGATTTGGTCCAGTCGTCCTGGCAGGCATCCGTTACCCCGACCGATGCCGTAGGTGCTGATGTTTTCCCTCTTACCGAGCCCATCACCACAAACAACTTTCCAAGTGTCGGAGGCCCTGCAGTTCCGCCACCAGCACAAGCTTTGCCAGAATTGCCTGGTAAAAAGCCCTTATCAGGGGCTACACCATCGCCAGGCCCTGGGCAAAGTGTACGAAGCAGGCGGATGTCAGGACAGAATCCCAAGCAACTGAAGATTGAAACTACCAAGCTTGCAAATTTTACCGATACTGGTCGACGATACAGTGTTGCCCAGGCGTCGAGTGGAATACAGGGGGTAGATTTCGAACACCTTGCTATCAACGGGCCTCCTGATGCTGATGCAGATGGCTCAATGGCTCGGCCATATTCGCCGCCTGAAGGCATCAGTCCAACCCAGCCAGTGCCTCCTACACCTCCCCTCGGACACTCAAGAAGTCGGGACAGTGAAGACTTTACGGGCAGTCACTCTGGCTCGCCTTCATTTCGACCTACGTTAAGAAAGAACTTCTCTTCCTCAAGCTTAAGAAGCATGAAGAACCGGAACATGTCTCTATCGAACCTGGATGATACGTCTGACATGTCTCCTGGCACCCCATTAAGTACAGCTTTTGGCATTAATGGCAGGCATCCGGCGATGCCAACCTTGCCGACACCGTTGGCTGCTGCTTTTAAGGAGAAGTTCACGTCCAGCTCTGCTGGGGGTCTTTACTTGTTTGACGATAGCCTACATTCACCACAGAGCCCGGGGTCTCCAAACACACTTCAGCCAGATGCCCCAATTCCCCTAGAGCCGTGCCCAACAGACTATATGTTGAGGCCATTTTGGTTAATGCGATGTCTTTATCAGACGCTTGCACACCCTCGCGGAGGATATCTCAGCAATAAGTTATTCGTTCCACGCGACGTATGGAAGGTGAAAGGCGTCAAGATTCGAAATCTGGAGGATAAAGTGGCAACGTGCGACTACCTGACAGCTGCGCTATTAAAGCTTGCGCGAGTCGACACATGTGATGCGGATGCTGTCCTCGAAGAAATGCAGGCTTTGGAGGGCATTCTCGAACAAGTGCAAGTCGGGCTGACACGGAAATTGGGCACAGATGTTGGTGTGCAGAACTCCAGCATGTTGTTTCGAGACGCTTCGAATTCAGCAGAGCTTGAAGCCGCAATTAGCGTGCCGCGTTCAGCCAGTGTGTCGGGAAAGTCCTCATCCTTCTCATGGCGGAGGCTGCGGTCCAAGAATTCGGCAGCGGGCTTAAACAACTCTTTTAATGCCAAGGGGAATGGGATAGAGAGCGGCAAGGAATCTCCAGGCCTAGAAACGTTGCCCATGACGGAACACCCAACGAGTCGCCCCTCTAGAAGGGATCCTAGCAACGCGCAATTTTCAGGGCCGAATGCGAACTATATGGGGTCGCTGGCTCGATTATTCGACGCTGCTCAAACGATTGGTAGGTGACCAATAGCTTTTGCCCGGCGTTCCCTTTAACTGACATTCTGATGCAGACCAAATCGCGCGCCAGGTTGAAGATCCAGGCCTTCGGCATGCCGACAAGACACAGGTTGGCCTTGAGCTGTGCACAAGACATGCGGCAGAGTTTTTTGGCTTCTTCATCTGTCGTTTTGTATTGTCTGACCTGAGCCTCCTCTTGGATAAATTTATCAAGAGGGGAAGCGAGTGGGTTCTCAACTAAGTGAGTTAACGAGTCGTGAGCCACGCGGCATTGAGTGACCGTGTGGATATGGCAAGCAAGCTATGGAGGCATGACGCAAGAGTACTAAAGGGCAGCTGAACGGGCTGCCAAGGGATTTGTTTTCAATCGAGAGCCACAACTGGGTTAAGAAGGTCTGATGTTATGATAGAAGCTGAAGCGGGATGGGCTAGCGAATGATCGCCTATGCGAGCCTGCTTGCTGGTGCTGGAATCGAAGTTTTCAGATTCCAAAAGATACCTCAATATTTTCAACATTGCAACTGGATGTACTAGACACTCACGTGAAATTTTGTTGTCGTCGCAAGGTGAGCTTCTAACTTCAGTTATCGTCAGGCATGGGCATGACAAAGTCAGCCGGCTTTGGGAGCTGGCTCCGTCGCCTACGGGTGTGGTACCGGAGGCGGGCGGCCGAGCCACCGCTCGTCAGGAATCCTACCGATATGCCGGTTCAGCAATACCTACCATACCCAAACCAAGGGCTGACTGTGGTGTCTGTCATGCCGGTGTAGACCCGCATAAGCTACCTAATCTTGAGGCACCTACCTACATGAGGTTGACAGGCCGCTAAGAGAGTCCCAAAGACTGATCCCTAAGTACCTGCGAAGTACATCAGATCTAGTGACAGGCGGAAGGTAACGTGCTGAGGTACCGCAAGGTTCCCTTGGTATCCACGAGTGCTCCAAGGACCGTGTACCTTAGCGTGCTTAGGCTTGTCTTGCTTGGGTAGTGCACCGTTCCTATCAGCTGTCCCTGCACCTGGTGAGAAAAGAGCCATGGTTCAATGTGTTGAACGCCCCAAGCCAACTACTGACGACACCCATCGCACCCTCGCCATTGGGACATTCGAACCCCGAGCTTGGATCTGCTCGATGCAGAGGAACACACCTTGATGCGCGGCCCCTTAGCGACGAGCGTGCGCTGTACGCGGGACCAATTGGTCGGTATTCCACGCCAATTGCCACGATTTCCCTCGTCAAGCAAGACGGCGCGTATCTCCTTGCAAGGCAACATTCCTGCGCAACGGTCATGGCAGCGGAAGACGTTGAGATGGAGTGGCTTCGATCATAGGAGATCCTTTCACTGCGGTACACCGACCTTTGCTAAGCCTGCGGCACCGTCACGCTCTGCACTCGAGGAGCGAATACTTTCGATTCCGATTCAACGATACCGTAACTTTTGTATCGTGGCCCATATCGACCATGGCAAGAGTACGCTCAGCGACCGCCTTCTGGAGATCACCGGTACAATATCTGCCAGTGACGCCAACAAGCAGATTCTCGTGAGTTCATGTCTGACCGCATAGCTGCACATTGAGGAGGGTGTAATGCTAATGGCTTCCTGTCATTTCGCAGGATAAATTAGATGTCGAACGTGAACGGGGCATTACTGTCAAGGCGCAAACTTGCACCATGATATACAACTACAAAGGCGAAGACTACCTACTGCATCTCGTTGACACTCCTGGTCATGTCGACTTTCGAGCCGAAGTTACGCGATCGTACGCCAGTTGCGGTGGTGCTCTGCTGCTAGTCGATGCTAGTCAGGGCATCCAGGCCCAAACTGTCTCTAATTTTCATCTTGCATTCGCCCAGGACCTGGCTCTCATTCCTGTTGTCAATAAAATCGATATGCCCTCCGCCGATGTACCGAGGGTCCTCGAGCAGATGCATACGTCTTTCGAGTTGGAGCCTTCCACGGCTGTCCTTGTATCAGCCAAGACTGGCAAGCACGTGGCCAACATCCTTCCCGCCGTTGTAGAGAAGATCCCGCATCCTGTCGGCGATGTTTCGAAACCTCTGCGCATCCTGTTGGTAGATTCGTGGTACGATAATTTCAGGGGCGTGATCCTGCTTGTACGCGTCTTTGATGGCCAGGTCAAGGCTGGCGACACTCTCATCTCATTCGCCACTGGCCACAAATACACCGTCGGCGAGGTCGGGATACAGTATCCCAATGCTGTCCCACAAAGTGTCCTTCGTGCTGGACAGGTAGGCTACATCTACTTCAATCCTGGTATGAAGCGCATTCAGGACGCCAAACTCGGCGACACCTTCACCACCGTCGGATCGGAGGACATTGTCCAGGCATACCCGGGTTTTGAGGAACCAAAGCCAATGGTTTTCGTCGCGGCCTTTCCCACCGATCAGGGCGACTATACGCGTCTCGCAGACAGCATCAGCCAGCTTGTTCTGAATGACAGGAGCGTGACCCTGCAGAAAGACTATTCCGAGGCATTAGGGGCAGGCTGGCGACTAGGCTTTCTAGGCAGCTTACACTGCTCTGTATTCCAGGATCGGTTGAAACAGGAACATGGCGCCAGCATCATCATCACGGACCCGACTGTGCCGACTAAAGTGGAATGGGCGGATGGGACCGAGACGATCTATCAGAACCCGGCTGATTTCCCCAGCCAGGACGAGCACCGGATGCGTGGTGCAACTGTCTTAGAACCGTAAGCCGACGTCTTGTCTGATTTCTGTCTGCCCTGCGGTTATCCTTACCTTTGTTAGATTCGTTACTGCTACCATGACTCTTCCAGAGGAGTACCTCGGCCGTGTCATCGAGCTCTGCGAGAGCGTACGTGGCGAGCAAAAGAGCTTTGAATTCTTTCATGCCACACAGGTTATCCTCAAATACGATATCCCTGCAGCTCAACTCGTCGATGATCTGTTTGGTAAACTCAAAGGAGCAACGTAGGTTTGTCTTCCTATCATCATTTTAAACATTTGTCCTAACGGTCAGAGTAGAAAGGGATACGCGACACTTGATTACGAAGACTCTGGCTGGCGAGCGAGCCAGCTCACCAAGCTGCAGCTTCTCGTCAATAAACAGCCCGTGGATGCCATTTGTCGTGTCATCCATACCTCACAGGCAGAGCGCCTCGGCAGGCAGTGGGTCACTAAATTTAAGAATCACGTCGATCGGCAGATGTTTGGTGAGTTCTCTACATAACGCACTGGCATTACGGCAGCATTTTCTGACATGACGCTTTGCAGAGGTCGTTATTCAAGCGGTGGCGGGCAGGAAGATTGTTGCACGCGAAACTATTAAGCCGTTTCGAAAAGATGTGCTAGCAAAGCTTCATGCTTCCGATATCACGCGCCGGAAGAAATTGTTGGAGAAGCAAAAGGCCGGCCGTAAGCGACTTCGCGCCGTCGGCAACGTTGTCATTGATCAGTCTGCTTTCCAGAGCTTCCTCTCCAGGTGAGCGCGCCAATAATGGGTTGGGCTGGGCTCGGCCGGGCTGTCGAATATGGCATACGTTTGTACAAAAGTTGAAGAGAAAAAAATGGATCCCACGGGGCCCGTGTATGTGTATGAAGACAGGGAAACTTGGCAATAGTCTCGACATCTTTCCCTAGTGGCCTAGCTTCTCTAGACCAAAGGGTCCAATTAAGCTTGGATATGGTTGTTATTATACCAATATCCCAGCGCCTATGGTCACCTCAGGCATGAATAGTGTCCGCTCTGATCCATGACGGTGTCAACCCGCGAAGAGCCCCAGCTCTCCTGTTCGTGCCGTGTGATAGAGACCGCTGCGATGCACACCTGGAGTGCTCCATTTACTCGGATCTTTTGGCAGAGGCTACAATCGCCATTTGACTTCTCGTGCTTCAAATGCTAGACTAATGGGGTAGTCTCCGAGGCTGGCGCCAATTCCGAGCCGATGACTACGGGTTCCGTCCTCGACTTGCCGAGACCGCCACTTAGGGTTGAATCAGCTTGTTGAAGCTGGAAAGGCTCCCCTGGCGCTCCGCCCCTTTCAAACTTGAAAACCCTATAGTCGGCGTTGAAGAACCAATAACCCGTCACGCCGGCGCGAAGGAACCCAGAGTGGGAGACAACAAAGACAAGTTTCTCCTTGCGTTCAAAAATGCTCTGGAGGCCCGATTGACCTCGGCCGAGTATGGCTTCTCTGTTGAAAGCATACTGGGCACCAGCAGGGGGTGTTTTGTTGGGGTAGATGGGATCTACAGTAGAAAAGTCAACACCAGGAAATTCGACCTTCAAATCTGCGATAGTGCTGCCTGTGTCGCATGGCTTCGCAGAGTTTTCTACACTATAGTCAGTGATATGGCCTTGGAAAGTCTCGGAGGGTCACCCCGAATTGCGGGAGGATGTATGGCTTATTACCTTGCCATCGAGCGTCGGCTTGGATTGGTACCCCTTTCTTGATCAGCCAATCTAAGGAGAGAAGGGCTGTCTGGATTGTGCGTCTCATGGGGCTAACGATAATGATTGCATCAGTCTCATCGGCGAAACGCTGAGAGAGATTTTCCTTTAGTTCCTGACATTGGCTTAAGCCAAGAGAAGATAGATCAGGGTCATGAATGTTCCAGTCCTGTAGTGTGGTGTTAGATTGACTCGCGACTATGAAGTTGGCTGGAAGACTCATCATCAACATTGTGCAGCGCCTGGGCATGGCGGATGAGCACGATGGTCGGCGGCATGGCGATATTTGGAAGGTTTGCTGTAGATGCGCAATTATGTTCCCTAGATTCTAAAAGCTCTATGTTGGACAATTAACACAAGCAACCAACTCTATGACCGGAGTAGGCAAGTCTAAGCGTAGCGACAACACTGGAAACGGCAAGTCACCCGCCGTGACGCACAGGGTAGGCATGCTTCACTTGAGCTTCGACGTGTGCATATCTGCATAGGTGCTCTGGACCTTCCGGATACCTATGGGGCTACAGCTACAGTGTACATACATACCCCCAAGTGGCCTTGGCTCAACCCACCCGTGCCCCCAACGTGCCAACTTACTTACATAAGTACCTTGATCGACATACGCACTTTGAAGGTACCTCGGATTAAGCTAGATACCTTAGCACGCTGGGCCTGGCGCGACGATACCGGGCAGCATCGCGTCTCAAAGCTTCTTGATCATCCAAAGCACAAGCCTTTTACCGTTGCTGCAAATTCACCTCCAGCACAGCCCAACATACCCACCAGTCACCCCAATTCTTTCCGAAATCACTCAAAGGAGATGTCGGATGTGAACGAATTGTTCAAGGTGAGTCGCACCATAAGTCTCCCGATCACAGCCTTACTTACCAGGCACCCCAAAGTCCGGCAGTGCTGCGAAAAGGAAGCTTGATGTTGTGCGAGATCCCAGTTAGTACCTGCCTCCATTACCCCATGTTGAAAGACTACACTGCCCGACAGCGAACACGAAGTAATAGATATATAGATGAAATATACAAGTCAGCCAAACTGAGCGCAGCTGACGGCATCAGTCGACATGCCAGCACAGTAGACGCGGAAGGAGACGATAGCGATTTCACTGCCGGTGCGCAAAACCCACCTGAAGATGGCGAAGACGAAGACTATGGCCCAGAAATGCCGCCAGACGATGACGACGAGGGACGATTCTTTGGCGGGGGTATCACAAAGCAGGAGTCTGAGATCCTCGACTTTGTAGACGGCCATGGCGAGGATTCATCCGCCCCCGAAAAGATTGATGCTGGCTGGGTACGAAAAACGGCACTAAATTTTGAGAAGCGCATCACCCGAAATGCTGAGCTGCGCGCAAGGTTTGCCGACGAGCCTCACAAGTTTATTGAGAGCGAGGCCGATCTCGACGCTGCCATCAAAGACCTCTCGATCCTGTCCGAGCACCCCGAGTTATATCCCCAATTCACAAAGTTGGGATGCGTCGAGAGCCTCGTCGGTTTGCTGGCCCATGACAACACAGATATCGCGATTGATGCGGTGGAGATCATTGGCGAGCTCATTGACGAGGACGTCAATGCAGCGGATCAGGATTGGGATACTCTAGTGGATGCGTTATTGACTGCAGACCTCATTGGCTTGCTAGTGTCCAACTTCTCGCGTCTGAACGAAGAGGACGAGTCCGACCGTGGTGGTATATATCACGCTCTTGGAGTTGTTGAAAGCCTGCTCTCCAAAACGGCGAATGCCGAAAAGGTGGGACAGAACACGACGCTGGTCAAATGGCTACTTGACAGGGCACAGCGCCAAGAGACACCCGTGTCCCAAAACAAGCAATATGCTACGGAAATTCTCGACATTATTGCGAACGCATCGCCAGCAACAAGACGGACACTCGCCGAGATGGATGCGGTCGAGGTTTTACTCCAGCTAGTCTCTGCGTATCGCAAACGTGACCCTGAGAAGGGGGGCGAGGAGGAAGAGTATATGGAGAACCTATTCAACGCCCTCGTCTGCATTGTGGATGAGCCAGAAGGCAAGGCCAAGTTTCTCGAAGCCGAGGGCGTCGAATTATGCCTGATCATGCTCAAGGAGGCCAAGATGAGCAAGCAGCCGGCAATGCGTCTACTTGTACACAGCGTTGACGAAGATATGAGCGGGCAACTATGCCGAAAATTAGTAGACGCTGGCGGGCTGAGAGTGCTCTTCTCCATTTTCAAGAAGGCGAGCAAAACTCAGAGGCAGATGACAGAAAGCCTATTTGATGTATTCAGGTCCTTGCTACGATTCCTGCCTGCCGACTCTGCCGAGAGAATCAGGACATTGGCTAAATTCGTGGAGAAGGACTACGAAAAGCTGGATCGGCTCTACGAGTGTCGGAAGAGGTATAGTTCCATGTTGGATGCGCAACAGGAAAAGATTCGTCAAGAGCGAATTGGCATGAGCGCTGAGGAGATTGAGCTCTCGGAAGGCGAGTGGTTCATGAGGAGGATCGAGGAAGGTCTCTACAGCTTCTGGAACATCGATGTTGTCTTGGCCTGGCTCATAGCTGAAGATTCTGGTGCTAGGAGGAAGGTGCAGAAGCTCCTGGCCGCTGATGGGAAGGGTCTATCAGCCATCAAAGCGACATTGGAAGAATACCGATCTGACCTCAACCTGGAAAAGCCCGAGCACAAAGATCTCTCCGATATGCTCACCACTCTCATGAACTTTTTAGTCTAGACAGAAGAAGAAGAAGAAGAAGAAGAAGAAGAAGAAGAAGAAGAAGAAGAAGAAGAAGAAGAAGAAGAAGAAGAAGAAGAAGAAGAAGAAGAAGAAGAAGAGGGAGAAGTAGAAGGGGAGGACTGGCTAGCAAAGTACAATTTTACTACAGCTACCCGATCTATGTAGGTGCGACTCTCCAAAGTTCTGGTCATACCGCGGAAACAACTTGCGCTTCAGTCTGCTGTCCCGGCTTCGCGCATCATCGGCAATTTGTGAACGCGTCCTCATCATCCTCTTCTCGCCCAGGACAAAAGCGCTGGCTTCATTTCTATTCGTATGCTGCGCATAGCGTGTCCGATGCGCTCGTTATCAATGTGCTTCGATATTATGAAGAATGCTGATAAAGGCTCATGCGGCAGTCGGGGCGACAGGCTTCACCTCGAAAACGGCCTTCAGGAGATCAGCTACGACCTTGTCCTGGCTCTTCTTTCCGGCCCCCTGGATCTCCTTGATCTTTCCTTCTGCCTCCTTGTTCGCCTCATCCTCGGCTGCTTTATTTCCTTGGGAGTGCTGGGGGGTTGTCAGCACCAAGATCGTGCCGGAGCGGTGTCGGAATCCACGACAGATATACCTCAGATTCGAACTTCTTGAACTCATCCTCCTTAGAGTTGCGGTACGCCTCGATTTCCTTCTTGGCCTCGTCTCGGGCTTCCTTCACCCGCTTCGTACGGACTGTTCCGATATTGCGTGAGTATGTCATAGTCGCAGCAGTATTGATCGGCCTCGAAACCTACACTCGCGGGCTAGGTAGGGTTCATTCATTAGTCAACCGGTTACTTCAACATGTACCCTTGGGCATACCTTTTTGCACAATCTTGGAAGCTTCTCTCTCTGCCTGCATCACTTAGGTCAGTGACAACACGACATGGAGTGTCGCGACGGAGGGCACATACGTCCAGGAGGGTCTGGATACCAGCTGAGTTCTGAGCCGACTGTAGAAGGCCAAATCAGCTTGCTGCAAGTTGATGGATGACGTTGCTGTCCACTTCGCACGTCCTCACCATTATGTAGTATTGTTGCAGGTGTAGCTAGCGGGGAAAGCAAAGTAGGGTGATTGCGCGATTCAAAACGGCTGGCCGATTGATATCACAAGGAGCGAATGCAGGAGATGTGTTGATAGCCGTAAGTAAGGTAGTTGTCAACAATCACAAGTAACAGGAGGCGACGAGGAAAGCTGGGGTGCACTGGTTATGGAGCGAACGTAAGGCGAGGTACCTACCCAGGTAGGTGCCAAGGAAGGTCACAGTGCACAACCACAATGTCTCGAGCACTGTACCTCCGACCTCAACCCTCCACCTCAACTTTCAAGCTCCCATGTCTCTCTACCTAGTAAGGTACCTTAGTGGGGTCAAGGAGCTAGCGGGGCGCTGACAGACACAGGTGAGGCACCCACGTCAGGCATATATGCACTACCTCAAGATACTGGGTAAAGTGTAACTAGACATCTGTTCCGGGGACTTGAAGCGTTTAGGGTGCTCTGCAATGCAGTTGTCGAAGACGATAATTGCGTGAACCTAACTTGCGGTAGTTATATTGAGACCAGCAGGTACGCAACGACTTTTATTGGCCCCTGTTTAACGGATACCTGCTGTCGAATCGAGAACCGAGTCAAGCGACACCGACGCGGCGGATGCTGTCGCTCACGGGGAGAGATTCAAACACCGAAATCGATCCACCAACATCACCAGAGTTTTGATAACCCTCTGTTCAAGCCTTGCATCTCGTTCGCTTCCCACGCCACCCGCACGTTCAAACATCGTCTTCCAACCATGTCCAGGGCATCGAAGCTTACGCTGGCCGCGACATCGCTGTTCGCCGCCAGCACCATTGTCATTGTCCATTTCCAACAAAAGTTTGAAAAAGAGGCATGTACCACCTTGAATTACCGCTACTCCTATAGGAATCTGTATCTAAATGAGAGTGCCTAGGCCATGCATCAAGGAGTGGTACGCGACATCGAACAGCAGCGCATCAAACGAGAACGCCAACTCGACTTCGACATGCAGCGCGCCCTCGAGGAAGACTACAAGCGTGAGCAGACCGTCAGAGATGCAACGGCGCCCTCACAACCCAGCGCAAGTGGCATACAAACATAATCTATAGCCGATGGTCTGTCTTGTCTGTACCCAACAACTAGGCAATACGAAGACAGGGCCGGATCGACGGAAACAAGAAATCACGGTGCATTTGTATGATATGAGGATGAGAGGAGGGCCTCGGAAACGATGAATAGTACTCGTGGGTTCCTCTCACTGTCGAGGATAGAAAAAGCTGAAGAGACGGCATGACACTAAATAGGGGCATTACATCGCGATTAAGGTAAAGTAATCGCCAAAATGTTGCAATGCTACGCGTAGAAAAGTCTACTACTGCGGCATCGCTCGCGCATATATGTTAGCGAAATTCGCGTCGACCAGGAACAGTACCCAGCAAGGAAGGAGCAGAAGAAGCAGATACTACCTTATCTTCACTTGGGTACGAAGCCGGATAGTCTACCCGAGCTGAGACGGAGGAAACATTACTGCACAACGCCCGAGACTTTGGGCCTTTTTTTTTTTTTTTTTTTTTTTTTTTTGACAAACCGTTTCTGTCTTTCCCCGTCGGTTCTTAGTTTCTTTATCATTGATTTAATGGTACATGTCATTGATACAAGACACATGGAGGCATCATCTGCCAATTTTTCTATGGCTCGCCCCAAGATGCGAGTGAATAGGGTGACCAGAATGTAGTTCCCCAGCCTCGAAGACGCCAAATACAACCAATCACCTCCCAATACTCCCTGCCTGCCTGCTAAGCCATTCTCATCTTGCAGGCCACCTCCATGACCCGAGGCTCAGCGACCTATTTTCCAAACATCCCATTCCGCAGCTAGTCTCTCTATCGGATGGAGACTCCGGACCTGTTAGTAAACATGCGGGCGGCGATGTTCATTGACTGCAGCTCCTGGAACAGAAGCTTAGCTGCGTAAGGAATGTGGATTTGTGCAATCTTCGTCTTGTTTTTGCACGGCCGACACTCGAACGATTGCTTCGAAAGGTTTCTGGTATCAAGTTAGTACTGCTCCGCGTGACATAGTAGACCAAGAGAAGCTTACGCGATAGGCGTCATCAGGCCACAAATTTCGCAAACGTGAACTCGGAAAGCATCCGAGACCTCGAAAAGTCTCTCCTTGAGGAAAGATGCCGCGCCATGAGCAATCATGCAATCACGCTCCATCTCTCCGAAACGAAGACCTCCATCGCGAGCACGACCCTCCACAGGTTGCCTGGTCATGATCTGAACAGGTCCACGCGCACGAGCGTGAATCTTGTCGTCCACCATGTGGCGCAGACGCTGGTAGTAAGTCGGTCCAAAGAAGACCTGGGCTCGCAGCTTCCTGCCAGTGTGGCCATTGTACATGATCTCGAATCCTCTCGATTGATATCCTTGATCTCGGAGGAGCTGCGAGACTGAGTCGACTGTCACATCTGTGAAAGGGGTGGCGTCGCCCTCCATTCCCTTTAATGTCGAGACTTTGCTGAGTAAACACTCGATCAAGTGGGCAATGGTCATACGAGACGGAATTGCGTGAGGATTGATGATGATGTCCGGCGTGATGCCCTCGCCGGTAAAGGGCATATCTTCTTGCCGATAAGTGACACCGATGGTACCCTTCTGGCCGTGACGTGAGGCAAACTTATCACCAATCTGTGGAATCTTGGTTGTTCTAACGCGGACCTTGACGTAACGGAGACCGTCTTGGTTGGTCGTCACGATGACCTGGTCTACAATACCGTTTTCCGTACTTCTGAGTGGGGTGGAGGCGTCGCGCTTGACATGCTGCACCGTTCGCTGGCCCATCTCAGCGTTGTCCGGGCTTATAGGCGACGTCTTTCCGATAATGATATCTTCACCCGAGACACGAACTCCCGGTGCTACGATGCCATCATCGTCAAGCTTGTCGTAGGTGCCATGCTTCAAACGTAAGGTATCGCTTCTGAACGGTTTTTCAAACTGCTCAACAAGATTGATACCCACGCGCTTCTCGCAGTCAGTGTACGACCTGAAGAATAGACTCCTGAAGAGGCCACGATCGATGCTGCTCTGATTCATGATCACGGAATCTTCCTGATTGTAACCAGAGTAACAGGCGATAGCGACGACGGCGTTCTGTCCGGCTGGAAGCTCTCTGAACTTGAGGAATTCCATGGACCGCGTGGTGGCAAGCGGCTTTTGAGGGTAGTAGAGAATGTTGGCCATCGTGTCCATTCTGCGTGAGTAGTTTGTCAAGAAGAAGCCCATGGCTTGCTTGCCCATGGCGGACTGGTAGGTATTACGAGGTGACTATGAAATGCAATCAGTCAGTGCTTGCTTATCACACGCAAACGGGCAATGGCATACCTGGTTGTGATCGGGGAAGGGAATGATGCTGGCGCAAATTCCCAGCAGCATGCTGGGGTGGATTTCGCAATGAGTGTACATGTGTGTTGTGGGATTGATCTTGGTCTTCAAACGGCTGTTGGGGCCATCAGTATTGTCCTCAACCACTTGACCTTGCTTCTGCAATCTGTAGATTTCCAGATCCTCGGGCGTCATGCAGATCATGGCTGTCTCTTCTTCTTCGGCATCGAGATATTCTATAACACCGCTGTGGGCAAGAGACTCCCAAGTGATTTTGTCAGCCGGGTTATCTGGAGGGTTTTCCTGCTGCTCGCGCATTTCGTTGACCGTTGCCTTTTGCAGCACGAGCGATCCCTGAGCTACTATGCCGTTGGTACCTTGCTCTACAACGAAAACGGGTCTCATGACTCTGCCGGCGTCGGAAAAGATCTTGAACTCGCGGTCTCGGATATCACGGACGAGCGATACTTCGTGGGAAATAACGTTTCGCCTACGAGTGCCCTGAACATCAGGAACCAAAATTCTTGGGTCTTGATGCACGCCAACCCATACACCATTCAGGAAGACCTTGGTTGCGTTGGGATACCTCAGTGGCTCGTACTCCTCGAGAACCTCCATGCCTCGCTGGATCATGTAGTCGATAATGGGTTCAGCGGGCGTACCGACACTGACATAACACATGAGAGATAAGTTCTTGACGAGACCACATGCTTGGCCTTCCGGCGTCTCAGCCGGGCAAACCAAACCCCAGTGCGTGTTGTGAAGTTGCCGGGGCTTTGCCAGCTTGCCGTCACGACCAATGGGCGTATTTGTGCGACGAAGATGGGATAGCGTAGACGCAAAAGTGTAGCGGTTCAATACCTGAGACACGCCAGCCGTCGAGCTCGCGGCCTTCTTCTGATCTCCCCAATTGCCAGTCGCCAACGAGTACTTCAATCCATTCGAAAGAGTCTGCGGCTTCACACCGAGAGTGAGACTGAATTGCCGGTTAGACTCGACACAGCGCTTGAGATGGCCAGATAACTCCTGGTTCATGCGGCGGACAATGTTGCGGAACAGCTTGGCGAGAAGGGGACCGGCGAGATCAAGGCGCTTTTTGCCAAAGTGATCACGGTCGTCGGTATCGCGCCGACCTAAGGCGCATTGGAGCAGCTTGTGAACCATATATCCCAAAAAGAATGCCTTTCTTGTCTCACTGCCTTCGCTCTGGGAGATATGCGGCAGAGTTTCTTTCTGAAGAATGTCTTTAGCAGTTCTCACACGCTTTTCTCTGGGAATGTTGTGATTGCTGCCACGCTTGCCGATAAAGTCAAGGGCAACCTCTCTGTCCTGGATACAGAAAGCTTCCTCGATGCATGGCCGCAACATCTCGAGCATCTGGCTATCATTTCGATCATAGCAAATGTGATTGAGGATATCCTCGTCGGATACCACGCCCAGAGCTCGGAAAACGATGGCGATTGGCAGATCAGCCTTGACATAGGGCAGACTGCAGTGGATAGTCTGACCGTACCCGCCCTTTGCTGCGTCACCCTTGCTGTACAGCTTCAGCATCATAGATGAAATGAGTCGAGAGCCCTTCTCGAGAGCGCTGCGGATCTCAGCTGTGTAGGAGTATGGACTCGGTTGGGCTTTTTTGAAGACTTGGACGATGTTGGCGGCCGATCGCTCCTGAGCAATGAGGACCTTTTCACTACCGTTGATGATGAAGTAGCCTCCCTGATCGTAAGGACACTCGTTCAGCATGAACAAGTCATCCTCCTGCTCGCTACTCAAGTGGCAAATCTTGGACTTGACCATAATGGGCATGCGACCGATGAAGATCATGTCCTTCATGTCGTCTGACTTGTTTTTGTCGGCGCCATAATCCTCGCCGCTCTCCTCCTCTTCCCACTCCAACTTGGTAGGGTGCTCGCCAGTATTTGCAAGTTCATCCTGCTGTTCCTCATCGAGCTCATTCAGCGGAACCGGTTTCTCTACCGCAATCGAGACCTTCTTGGTGATCTTAACATAGAGGGGACTGGCGTAAGTGAGGTTGCGGTCGCGGCATTCGTAGGGAAGCAATGTCGTAACTTTACCATCAGCTTCGGTGATGGATGGACGAGATACCATGACAGTGCCAAATTTGACTTCGTACCGACGGAGGGCGATGACCTTGTCGCTGTCTGACATAGGATTCGGCTGGTCTAGGGTGATTTGGGAGTACTCGTCGATGAGCTCTTGGACGGTTGAAGAGGTGAATTCGTCGAAGGAGTCGACTTGCTGAGAAACCAAACCCTTGGACTCGAAGAAGGAAGAGATGACGGTCCAGCAGTCTTCGGGTGTGATGCTAGTATCGTCTTCTTCGACGTACCCGTCGTAGTCGTAGTCATCGTAGTCAGCCATCTCGGAGACGTTGGCACCTGCGTGTGCGATGACGGATGCCAGACAAGAAACAGGTTGAGTGAGCAGGAGTCGGCCTTGTGATTATCTGCAGTGGTGCGTCTCGCACTCAAGTCTGCGAGCGATCGAGTTTCGAGGCAGTGTTCGATGGGCAAGAAGCGGCGAGTCGCGGTAAGAGTCGGGTTCCCACAACGATGATGATTAACAATCACGACGCAGGGCACAGGCGAGTTTGCCTCTTCAGCTCGGTTGGGGCATGAAAAGAGAAACAAGGCCAGGCGCGAGATTGGAAGACCGACTGCGCAAAGCGATGCCGATTCGATATGTAACGGACGGGTAATGCAATGGTGTACGGCCGATGCAGATGACCAGCCTCGTTACCTAAGGTAGGTGGTGGTTTTTTCCTCTCTCGAAAATACAGTTGCAGAGGCAGCAGGCGCGAGAGACGGGTTTGAGAGGCTCAAGCCAGAACGCGGCAAGGGGCGACGGGCTAACCCTTTTTGCAATAGTGCATATTCGCATGCTTGTGCCTTAAGGTATCCATCCGTCGCTATTTATTTGTATTCGTAGGTACCTTACGGTTTACCACCGCAGGTAGGAGCCCCACAACAGCTCCTTCTAGGCGGATCACGTGGCAGAGGCTGTTTCCCTCGCGCGGAACTTGGAGCCTGGAGGCACCAGATGAGACACATCTTCGAGTACCTTAAGGTACCTAGTATGGAAGGAGCGAGTCCACAAACCTCATTGCCATCGTTCAGCATGGCGGCCAATACCCGTCCATTCTCATAGACGATCCAAGGCCAAAAAACAGCTAATCCGACATCCATCAAGTAGTCACACAACATTGCCCCGACTTCGATGAACGACGGGGGTTTTCCAGCTCTTTCCACTATCCCATATCTGATTCAGACTGCCATTCCAGTTCACTTTTCGCAGATATTTCGCTTGGTATGCAACAGGCGTATTTGACGGCTGTCTTGAAGAAGTCATGCTAGTTTTTCTGGATACTTTATTCATCATAACGTATAGGAAGTCTCAACCGTACCGAGTGGTAACGAGCTTCGCCTTGTACCTCAAAACACTTGACAATCGAGGTAGGGTCTTGTTGATGGAAAGCTAACGTCCATATTTATCCGCTAGCGGTCCATTGGCAGCGAAGCAACCAAATGGTAAACATAAGACCAACCTTCCTGTACGTATGGGCCAACAGGCCGTCAAGCACGTGAGCCAAAGTCTCAACGGAAGGAGCCAATTTTGTTCAACTAGCAGTTATGAACTGATTTCCCAAACGATTCTAGACACGCTTCGAGCCATGTGTTGCGCGTTGGGTTTCACGCCAGTAGCGCATACATCTACATCTACTTATCCAGCAGCACTGATGTCTGCATCAGTAATGGCAGATGCCACCAAAGTCATCATCGATGGTCCACGTCCCCGCTAAGCCTCCGACCCCGGCTTCGATGCTGCTGTGGCTAGACTGGTCTGGTTTACCCAAGAAGAAATCGCCGCTGCCCTCAGACTTAACAGTTCTACGCATGAAGCGACGGGTCCACTCTTCGATCGCCGGCTCACCAGTCTCATCGCGCGCCTGTTTCAAGAACGGGATGAGAGCAGTACCTCCTGTGCCCTTCAGGTTCTTCTTGCCGTCGGCAGCCGGCAAGTTGTTACCCTGGGCGTTCGACTGACGTTGGCGCGAGGCTGTGGCTAGATTGACACGCAAGCGCGTCGCCTCAGGACTTCTCGACCTGCTGCGAGCACGCACCTCGCGTGAAGGAAGGATGATGTAGCGGGTGACGATGGCTATATGCTTGTCGCGGAATGCACTAAGCATGGCGAGACATGCATCATAGGCGAGACACAAGTCGCGTTCGCGCTTGTGGTTCTCGACAAACTCGCGGATGTTGGCAATGCCAGAGACATCCTTGAGGAAGCGAGCATGGGGTCCGGGCATGTACCGACGCATCTCCATAATAAAGTTGTGCTTTGGAACCGGAGCCCTTGACTCGCGCTCCGACTCGGTTGAGGGATCCCGCTTTTCGCCCGTTGGGCGATGATCAATACCAAGGATGACATCGAAGAATTGTATCAGACTGCTCTGAGCATTGCTACCGCCGCTGTACTGACGGTAGTCCTCCTTTCCAGAGCCATCGTCATAGTTGACGCCGTCAGGAAGACCGGCTTCGGCCATGTTCTTGCTCCCAGCAAGAAAGGTGCGGATGCGATTGTAAAAGATGTTGGGATCGCAACTCTCGTGCATGCGCTGCAAGATGATGGTCAGGTCGGTCAGCCGCTCGGCAAAGGTGCGCAAGCTCCGGGTAACGGTCGAGACATCTCCTCGGCGAGCAGCTTCCACGGCACCCAGCATGAGGGGGATGATGGGACCGCCACGGGCCTCGATAGCGACAGAGACGAGGTAGAACCACGACTCGTCGAGAGAACCAGTGAAGGTGTTGAGGGTGGCCAGGTTCTCGAGATTGTCAATGTCCTCGTCGACAAAAAGAGGCTTGAAGTTCCAAAGGCACAATGCGGCGTAGGTAGCAACCGGAGGCAGCTCAAGATGATTCGAGATCTTCAAGAAGGGAACGGTGACGGAGGGCGGGAGTTGATCGCAAGGCTCATCGCCACCCCAGATGTAGGCATGAGCCATGAAGGATAACAAAGAGTAGGCTCTCCGCCATTCTGCGTCGTGTTCCAGACCGATGGTGGAGAGAACAGGCAAGCGGTCTACAACCGGACGAAGGCGGCGGCTGAGAACGAGAGCCTGTAAGTTGGCGACAATGGCCTCCCACTTGTTATAGTAGGGGTCCGGCAGCCGTGTCAACGGGAGAACGTCCGGTAGGAATCCATGGGTTGCAGAGATTCCATAGTCGGAGAGTTCGGGGATGGGGGGTAGCATAATTGAGTGTTGTCTATACCTCGGTATTGCCTCTGTTGCGAGCGAAACGAGTTTCCGAGTGTGGTCGATCGAGTTGCTGAGACTTCAGGAGTGCCGAGAGATTATCAATGCTCCAATAGATGGTTGCGATTTCGGAAGTTGGTTGTGAAGGCGGTTCAGTGAGGTAGTAGACAGTGTTCAAAAAGGTCCTGACGCAAGGAGTATCCAGAATTTGCTGGAATACTCCTCAGCCGTGCGAAAGATCCTTGGAACAGCAAGCATTCAACGTAATGTAAGAGCTGAGTAGAAACAGTTCCAAGATGTTGTTAGTTTCCAAAAAGAAAGAAGAATCAACGTCGACCGTGAAAAGAAACAAGAGTTGTAGGTGATTTCAGCGGAAGGGGTGTGCGTGTGCGGGATGTTTTATTTAATAATGCGCGCAGCGGTCCCCGTCGGCTATGTGGGATTGGACAGGCGAAATGTGTTCCAGGGTCTCCCCCGAGACCATTTTTTCTTCTCTGCAGGTGAAGAAATGTGACGGCGGGGAGTACGGATGCCAGACTAGGTGACTGGCTACCTTAGGTTACTGAGTAACTCTACTGGGCAAGGTAGGCAGTACTGTAGAGTCGAGTGTTTGTGCCGCCTCCTTGGAGCGGTTAAAGCGCCCGATTCGAAACATGGACGGTACATACAATGGATTAGCGGGGCACGTACCTCGAGCAAATGGAACCATATGAGTAAACATGGCATCCAATGATTCAATACCTTCAGAATGATTGTGGCACCACCAAGCGAATGTATCGATCAAGTAAAGCATCTTGCAGAGCGAAGAAAACTCTCGGGATTTACCGTAACAATACGATTATGATTATGCGCCGTACCAGAAGGCGTGCAGACTATGCGTAGGGGCTACCAAGGTCTACGGTTATGTACCTATGACACATGGCTTGTAAAGTGCTGAGAATGTAAGCAAGACGGAGAACGATGCAAGATTACAAAGCGTGTCAAAACAACTGCAAAAAGGAATTGGAGCTGGACCCGACCAACCCGAAACATGCCAGGCAAGCAAGTTGCCAGCATTGAATTAGAATGGGCCCGCTCCGTGCTCGGCCTTTCATCCAGCCAACTTCACACCATGAGATCAATTGAGGATCTCAACGACCGTGTGGATCCGATGCCGGCCATCATCAATCATTAGGTAGGTTACGCTGCAACGTAGAAAAATAGTATCTACCTAAATTTACCTTACAAAGGAAGCAAACATGCAGGATGGCCAATGTCCCATGGGAAGCATCTCAAACTGCATGGCTGTGATGTCGATGGTGAAAAGGGATGAGGATGATGTACCATGAGTAATTTGGTTTACCTATCGGTGCTGATGGATGGATGGCGAATTCAGTCCGACCTTAACCTACCATTCTTGCGTCATCTTTAGGATCGAATACCAGGAAGAAGGGCCTCTTCAAAGTCGATGGAGCCCGCCTCAGGTCACAGGTTTGAGGTAACGGAATTTGACTGCGACGCGGGGAGACCTTCACGGCGGCCCCACCTTTTCCCACCCAAGCTGAGGTGCGTCATCCGCAGTGCGACCTGCCATCCACCACCGGCGCCCAATCACCCATGTCCGAACTACCTTACCTTAGCTACCTTACCTTACCTACCTCCTTCCCTCGACTGGGTACTGGGAACGCTCCCACCGTTGCAAGCTCTCCGCGAAACCCATCACCGGCGCCGTCCAATTCCGCTGTCCGACGTCTCCCGTTACCGAACACCCACCCGATCGTGCCGATTCTCATAGCAGACCTTAGTGTTAGACACCGCTGCAGCATCAAAACCCGGCTCTACTCCTAGGGCCCCTGGCATGCATCTATGAGTTGAATCCGCATCGCACCTTCCCCCGCTCGCCGCCCGCTGCTCGTTACTCGCGCATCCGCTTTCACCTCTACTCGCCTCCTGCCCGAGCTCCGTACCGGTCCCCCCGTGCCGGAGCTCTCGCTGCGTCTCTGCGATGCCCGTGCCGCAACATGTCCTGAACTGGCTTTACAGTGTTTTGACAAGTGTATGTTGTGTCTTCAACTCTTGGCTCCGTTGTCCTCGACTGATGCGTGGCCCTGTTCCCAGGAATACCACGATGTGAATCGCACCTACAACGATGTAGCCCAGGCGCTCTCCCACCACCCATCTCTATCGCCGCGCACCGACGTTCACAGTACGGCCATTGATCGCGACCATAAACCCTTGTTGAATGCGTGCTGATACCGTCCATAGCTTACGATAATGGCTCGTCAGCCCTACTTCTCCGCCTCTCTGGTACCATACCCGTTATATTTAGAGGCACCACATATCGCTTTCCCATATCTGTCTGGGTGCCTCACGCCTATCCACGAGAGGCTCCATTGGTCTATGTCACTCCAACAGAGTCCATGATGGTACGCCCCGGCCAGCATGTTGATCCTCAAGGCCAAGTCTATCACCCATATCTCGTAGGCTGGGCCGCCTTCTGGGATGTACGTCTTCATTCTTATCTTCCCAACCCTGGGCTGTGCTGTGAGGGTTGTTCTCCCATTCTGACGGCTAGCGTGTTAGAAATCCACGATTCTTGACTTCCTGGCCATCTTGAGAGACATCTTCGCCAAAGAGCCACCAGTCATTGCCCGACCACAAGGCTTACAGCAACCACCGCCACCCGTGGCATCACGTCCACCGCAATCACACACCCAAACGCCTCCCCGTTTTTCGCCTCTTCCACATGAATTGGCAGCTCGTCCGTCGAGTCGCCCGCCTCCTCAAACCCCTCCAGATGGATCGCGGCCTCCGCCTCCGCCGCCCAAAACGACAAGCACTGAACCGTACAGAAGCCCACCACCTCCTCTAGATGCTAGACACGGCCCTCCTCTCCCACCTCTACCCCCTAGTGCCACTCGTCAAGGCATCCATGGAGGCCTCAATCTTCAAGAGTCAAGTCGTCCACAGAGTCAAGCGCATTCTCGGTACGACTCAGCACCCCCACTACCGCCAGTACCCTCCTCTCACCCACCGCCGCCGCCCCTCGTCTCATCTCCACACCAAACTGAAGACACTGCACAGCAACCACAATTCTGTTCTGGACACCCTGCTCGATCCGTTGCCCCTCGTCACTCGGCCGACCCTATGTCTTATCAGCAGACGTCTCAGCATTACGGAGGACCACCTCCAGGTTGGCAACCGGCCGGGCAGTATCAGGCACCACCGCTGCCGCAGCAACTGCAGCAGCATCCGCCGCCACAACAGCAGATTGCAAAACCACCGCCACTGCCAGATTTGCTCGACGCGCCCCTCACTCTGAGTATACCTTCGCCGTCGTCGGTTCCCGCGCCACCGATACCACCGAACCCGGAAAAGGACGCATTACTCCACCAGATAGCGCAAACACTTCACTCCCTTCGACAACGTAGTAGACAGCAGAATGACTCCAGCATGGCAGGCTTGCAGGCGCAACGCACAGCTATGATGTCTGCCTTCTCGACCCTTCAGTCGGAGATGGGGACCTTAAATCAAACATCGGGGCTGCTTCAGTCCAACGCTAATATCCTGATCGACGCGCTGCGAAAAGCCGATTCTGTTATCGAGGGATCAAAACGTCAAACTGCGCCCGATATCGACGAGCTTCTGGTTGCACCCACAGTCGTAGCTAACCAGCTATACGCATTGGTCGCCGAGGAGAAAGCTATCGGGGATACCATTTTTGTCTTAGGCCGCGCCGTGGAACGCGGAAGGGTATCGCCAGCGGTATTTGCTAAGACGACACGATCCCTTGCTAGGGAGTGGTATCTGAAGAAAGCTTTAGTTCGCAAAATAGGAAAGGGGATGGGTCTGACAGCTTAGTCGAGCAGTGAAGTTGCGCTCCAATATAATGACATTTCAGTACGCTAAGTACTTTGGCAGACCAAGATTTCAATGAGGCTATTCTCTTTGTGCCCGGCAGTTCCTTTACTGGCCATTTCTCAGTACTATGCTCCAAAGCCTTGCGGCCTTCACCCTTCAGGTCTCTCACGCTAGTATACTACAGATGATATTTTGCTCTATGCTAAGGCATCACTGAAGAACACTGCTAGCTAGCCCGTCCGACATTGAATCAGTTACCATTACTGATGCTTGTTTCACTTTGCCGATTGGCAGCTTTGCGCATTTTACTGGCCGCCACGATTCCTCTGTCTCGTGGTGCGCGCCATCGACCCCAGCTAATCCCATGAGCATCTCCTGACAGAGCGTCCCACCTCGTCCTCCAAGGTGCGTAAGAGGATGATGATCCAAGTTGCCACCAAGTAGAAGTGACGACTGGACCAGTGGTACTGAGCGGCAGGGCTCCCTTTTGTTCCGCTGAACAGCCGTCAAGACTACGACCGGTGCTCAGGCACTCCCGGGGAATGGCCGACGTGCTCTTTCGGGAAGGCCGGTCTTTCGACGATGCAGACGCAGACGCAGCCGGGTGTCGGGTTTCGGGCTTTTCTGGCGAACAGTTTGCCAGCTGTTTGTCATCCAATCGAGCAATAGTCAGGTAGGACCCTTGCCAGGTCGGGGGCTCTGGTGACTTGGTGACATCGCGCTGGGTGCGGTCATTTTCATCTCTCTTGCCCTCTTCTAGCCTGCCTTTCTCCCATGATGCGGATATCTTTCGCCAGACTTCGCGACCACGCTTGAATCCCAGGCTTTCGAATCGATTCTCGGAGTGGGTTTCCAAACCGTCTGTCTCGCGCTCAGGCCCAGCGATTTTTGATCTTGGCGCCAAGATCGTTTTATTGGTTGAGGGCCTCGTCTCCGCATCCATCCGGCAGATGGCTTCCAGGGTATTGATTCGATCCTTCAAAGAAGAAGAAGAAGAGGTTGATCCTTTATATATACGGGCGCCCGCCGATGATTGGAAGGAACGACGTATAGCACCATTTGTGGATACTTCAGATTGTAAATGTGGTGCGTGGCCAGGCTGAAAGGCCGTCTGTGAGTTACCGTTAGCAGACCACCTATTTGCTGGCCTGGTATGACTGTGCCTCAGTCGCGAGCCGCTTTCTGGGCCAGTATCGTTGGCGGTTTCATCAAACAGCGTTCTCAGACTCGCTACTTTGCTTTGCGCTGTCACAATAGCAGCATTTCCCGAAGACTCCAGTAACCCTGTCATGGAAGTTGCGTGTTCTGGGTGTAGCTTCTCTTGGGATTCATAGTATTGTGATTGCGGGACCGACGACCTTGTACTATCCCTGCTTACGGACTGGGAGATCTCAAGAGCTACCTGATCCGTTGGCGGGTCTGGTGCTTTGGCAATTCCTTGCTCCGGGTTTGAGGTCGAAGCTTCCCGTGAATGGAGGGCATCCATGGCTCGGGGCCAAAGCCCGAAGAGCTTTCCTCTGCGTCTGTGTTCTCTGGAGACAGT